GCCTCGCGTCATGGAAGAACGGTTGCTTGGATGAGACACAAATAGGAAACTGGAGGAACCAGCAAGGGATGAGGGGAAGAAAGAAAACTGGCAAAAAAAAATGGTGGAAGTACAGGGAAATGCAGATGAAAGAAAGTAACATGAAATAAAGCTGGAACAATGCCAAGTTTTGCTTTTGAAAGATAGTAGTTAGAGAAGTGGGGTAAAAGACTTGCAGTGAAACAGTGCCTTCAGTGAGAGCTGGCTGTCCCAAACCACTTTACAGCCAGTGAGGTACTACTGAAATTGGCCACTGGCTGCAATGTTTCTTACATCACAACAATCCACACATAGCAAGATCTCGCTAGCAGCAAATGTGGCATGACTGAACAATCTATTTTTTTGTGATATTACTACATTGGAACAGTAGCCTGCTGTTTTTACAGCAATGTGTCTTTGCTGAATTTACAGGGACTGATATAGAGCACCCTCTGAGCTCAGATGTTGACCTGCAAGCAAGCCTATGATGCTGCTTGGCCTGCTGTGTTCATCCAGCTCTGCACCTTGTTGTCCAGGACAGCAGGCTTCCAAGATAGCAAACATCGGGGTTAATAATGTTAGTTCCCATCCAGGCAGTGGAGCCTAGTCTCTGTCATTTCAGCTCTCCATGCCATTGGACAAACACTTTGTTCTACCAGGACTGTTCAATAGTGTACTGTAATCATTTCACATTAAAAGAATCTACATACAGGCTCTTAAGACCATTCAGTAGTATATTTTTGGCTACAACACAGTTGAAGACATCTAGTGGTCATGACAAGTGCTATGTTAATATAAACTTTTTTTTATTGAAGTATAAATGTTGCTCTAGGCAGTAGGAAGAATTGTTCTCCTCTGCTTTGAATTAGTGCAATGAGATCTTTTGCATTCGGCCAAGAATCCAGGCTAAGCCTTGGTTTAATGTTTCTTTCAGAACAACACTTCTGATTGGAGTGTTAGTCAAGTCTTGAGTTAGGCTTGAACCCACACCCTTAATTTCACTCATAGTGCCCTATTGGGCCAAGACTTAGAAGTGAAAGCTTCAAGAATGTTGAGATCGGAGGAATGTCGGTGAAAATCTGAACACCATGAGGGGAAAGAGTGGGGTCGATCTCTATTTTGGATGATCAGCCGGCAGAATGTGCTGATTGCTTGGCCATCTATATGTGCTCTCATGATAGACTTAAGTCTATCTGACAAGTTGGAGAGTATCCCCAGTGCCATGGGAAATGACAGTAGCAAGGTAAGCTGCCTCAAAAAGTAGTTAAACATTTTTGTTTTGAATTTTATTTAGTGCAACCATCTCCAACCTAAACTGGTGATTTACATCTTAGAACATAATTTTGAAAATGGCAAAAGCCTGAGGCAAGCAGTACTTTTGTAGTGATAAACTGGGTAATAGAGCCTTTATAAAAAGTAAAGTGAAATCAGGAACTCTAGATTCCCTCAGCAGGCCATTTTTGCAAAATTTATCAGTATTAGAATCAGGCTTTGAAGGTAAGGGTGTGGAGTAATGTCAGGAAACAGCAGGAAATTGGAATTAAAAAGAGAGAACTGATAGAAAAGATAGGCAAAGGCATTCAGAGGGTTGAATTGACTTTGTTGTTTTTTAAACTCAGTCATGTGATGTGGACCCTACTGGTAAGGGCAATCTTTATCACCCATGAGAACAGTTAAGTGTTAACCACATTGTTGAAGGTTGAACGTCACATATCAGTCTTACCACATAAGCCTAACAGATTTCCTGTCCTAAATGTTAGTAGTGAACTAGATGGGTTCATAAGATAATTACCAATAATTTCATGGCTACCAGCACTAAGATTAGTTTTCAATTCCAAATTTTATTGTTACAACCAGTCCATTAAGATGAATAAGTTATTTTCCTTTCCTAATGTATGAAACTGTTATTACCAAAAGTGAATTTTAAATTGTAATTTTTTTGTAAAGCTTAATCATACATGATATAGAGAAATAAATTGGACAGATTCTCTAATGACAGATTCTCAAATTGCTGAAGAAACTCAGCAGCTCTGGCAGCATTTGTGGAGAGAAAGTAGAGTTAACATTTTGCGTCCTGTTTGATCCTGAAGAGGGGTTACTGGACCCAAACTATTAACTTAGTTTTCTCTCCACAGATGTTGCCAGCCCAGCTGAGTTTCTCCAGCTATTTTTGTTTTTGTTTTGGATTTTCAGCATCTGCAGTTTTTTTTTGTTTAGATTCTGTTGTGTTTTAAAATTGTATTTATTAACAAAACTCATTCAAGGTTTTTTTAAAAAATGAACTATTAAAACAGTACATATAAAGCTTGATTAAAACAATAATAATCCAGTTCCCAAATCTGCTATCAGACAAACACATGCAACATGCAAAGAAAAATAAAACAAATAAGTTTAAGGTAGAGGGAGGTAAAGAATGCAGAGAAGATTTTAAAAATCCAATAACAATGAACTACTTTTCCAGTTGTTTCAAAGGTTTTGATGCAGTGAGATCAATGTATTGCTGGTTTAGATCTAACTTTCCCCTGTAGCTCCCCTTCAACTGTAGCTACTGAAGCAAATCTTCACGTTTTTCAAAATTCTCAACCTATGTTCAGTTCTGCTTTCTCAATTCTAACTCTCTTGGTTTGCCAAAAAAGCTCCTTTGTAATAAAAGCTGAGTATATATTCCATGTCCGTGGAGATGTTATTTAGACTGATAAGTGCAATAAATTCTTCACCTCTAACATGTAAAGATTCTCATAATGGTGTAGGTCAAATAGCACATAAGAACCGTTTCACTCTTCTCACGGGCCCTGACTGACTGATTTGATGCCCTTAGGGAGAATGTTAATTTCAGCTCAGACTACATTTGATCTAATCCATATTGATTTCATGAAACTAACCTGTGTGGGTCAGATGATCCCTGTGGCCATTTTATGCCAGTGTTTTGAGGTCCTTTCTTCGAAGTTGTTTCCTTCCATTTAAGTCCCAGGTATTAAATTGACCAATGGAAATTGAAGATCAATAGTCTGTACTTTATAACACAAAGAAATTTGTTGATTAAATTTAGTTTCCAACAGCTGCCATGTAGGGGGATTTGAACTCAGCATTAGTCTGGGTCTCTGGATTACTAGTAAAGTGATATTACCACTATATTGCCATTTCCCTTCATTATAATTATAGGTTTTGCTTTCTTCTTTTGGTTTTTAGCACATCCCTGGAGTGCCGTGAAACCTTTTCAACCAAGTTGTATGACGGTCAGACACGTGTGGACCCTGTTCTAGAACAACTGGAGCCTGGGCATTGCCATTCCAGCCAATCCTCCGGAGACCATAAGGAAGTAGATAAAGAGAATGCCCGTAGGAGGCTGTGTCTAGCTTCTGCTGTCTGCTTGGTCTTTATAATTAGTGAAGTAATAGGTAAAGAAGGAAACAACAACTTGTAATTATCTGGGATAGTGGGAACTGCCGATACTGGAGAATCTGAGGTAACAAGGTGTAGAGCTGGATGAACACAGCAGGGCAAGCAGCATCAGAGGAGCAGGAAAGCTGATGTTTCGGGCCTAGACCCTTCTGAAGAAGGGTCTAG